TCATTGACACATCCATCGAATCAACTGATGCATTGGCCGCCGGGCCCCAACACGGCAGCTTTTCCTTCACTGAATGACTTTCTGACCAGTCTTGCAAAGGGTTTTTGCATGATCTTACATGTAGTGACTTTTTGACCTGTGCCGTGACTTTTCCGTCAGAAGAACTCAAGCCCGCATACCGGAGTTCTCAAATCTAATTCGAGATGCATGACCACACCCTACAACAATTTTACCTGTCACATCAAGCTCACCTTCACGATTCCACCACCGCCGGGAGCCAGCGCTTGGCTCTCACATTTCCACCCTCCAGCGCTGAAGCTGCTGCAGCCGAGCTAGTGAGGCTTTATGTCCAAAAAGGACACAACCACCACGCCTGCCACCGGTTTTTGAAAAAGCGCCGGAGCCGGCGACTTGTGTGTGTCCACCCCTGGACCAAGGGTTTCTTCCAACCGATTCACCTGCCACTTGTTCCACCACCGACTCACAAGCAGGGGGTGCAAGCAGCCCATCCAGTCTTGCACCAACGAAGACACTGGATGCGTGCTGGTGATATCGATTTGGGACGCCAAATCGACGTACCTGCAGAGTTCTTCACACGCTGTTACTCCACTCTTCCACGGTTTGTTTCATGGTTCTTCATGATACCTCTCACAAACCCACCGCCACGACCTTGCGACGCTTTGCAGCCGACTTTGAGTGTCAGATCGTTTTCGAGTGCAGCTGCCAACAATGTTCAACAATACGGTTTTGCGGACTTATGCACCTTTCCGTTCCCTCGCCTTCCTTCCCAACGTGGTAACTGAGTCACTGAAAACCAATGTCAGAGTGTGAGTGAGAGTGAGAGTGCGCACTCACACCCACACTCACTTTCACTCTCACTCTCACTCGCACTCGCACTCGCTGGCACTCGCACTCACTCACTCTCCCACTCTCACTCACACTCACGCTCACTCTCCCTCTCACTCTCACACTCACTCTCACACTCACCCACACTCGCTCACACCCACCTTCACTCTCACTGACACCCACTCTCACTCTCACTCACACTCACTCTCATCCACACTCACTCTCACTCACACTGAGTGACTCTGAGTGAGAGTGGAAGGTGGGTGTGAGTGAGAGTGAAGGTGGAACCCCCAAGTGTGTCCACACTGTTTTGGGAAAAAAATATACAGAATACCCTCCACTCCAAAATCAATGCTAAAACATATACAGTAGTAGACATATTGACATACTGTATCCTAGAAACTAAGAGAAGGTGCTGATGTGATATGTGATGCACATGTTTACATAGAGGTCCATTCCGTGGATCCCACATCCCGTTCCTTCTAAGAAAACTGAGGAACTTGAACAGAACCCCGACATCCTCAGTGGAGATACCTCGGCACTTCGAGGAGTCTCCGGACTGCACACAATCTGCTCATTGAGCAATTTTACCGAGGAAAGCGCGGACGAACCAACCACCTGGGGGCTGTGAGTGGGAGACCAAGACACCAATTCCATGCACCAATTGATTGAAGATCTGAGCACTTGCTTCAGCAATTATGCAAGCACGAAGAGGGGAGATGGATTGGATCACTTCCTCGAAAAATGTACGTTGCTTCACTGAGGTGCTCTGAAAATTCCAATGTGAAACAAAAATAGTGATGGAACAGGCACGAAGCAATTGATTCCATCGCACCATTAGTCAAAGTTCCACGTTTTTGGGCCCAAGTGCACATCACCCTGTGAAGCCTGTCCGTCAAGTGTCAAAACATACCTCTTCAAAGCGTCCAAGGGGCAACATCCAACCGCAACAGCTCTTTCCCAAACTCGCTCCCCTCCTCGAGGCCCCTTCATGAAGTGTGTCGTCTTGAAAGTCGAGGTACTTGCAACTCTCCGTTGTCGATGGTCGGACTCTGAGGTCTCCCTTTTTGAAATACGTGAGGTCTCTGCAAATGAAATCCAGAAGGATTTGCGACCATACAACTATCATATAGATAGGCAGCCTTGTAAGGTGTGTCACTACGGTAGATCCTACAAAACCTTCTGCAAAAACATTCGCTGCGTCTCCAAACGAGTCATCAAATCCCATAGACTCATAGACCCAACCTGGTCCTTCACTTCATCTTCGGAACCTCATCTCGCGGGATGGATCAAAACCTCAAGCCCTGATCCACCATGTAGCGACCTCCCAGGTTGGTCAACCGGTCGGTCTCCTGCGACCCTTCAGAGCCATCGCAGCTCCGGAACACAGCTGCGATGGCCCGAACACAGCGAACTGCGTTCCGCCGAACTCGCTGCGAACAGCGTTCTGCCTCTCCAGGCCCTGGTGCCCATCGATTGCAGGAATGCCGCGAACTTGGCCGAAGACATGGCCGCCTTAAACCTGGGCGGCGGGTGACTGACTGGTGGCTCGGGGCGTGGGTTCGGGGGCGTGGGTTCGGTGTTGAAAGAAACGGGCAGAACTGAAGCAAGAACTGGAGGATGACAGTGGAAAAACCTGAGTAGTCTTGGAGAATCATGGTTGGATGACAAATGGGAATAAAGGAACGTCTGTTCCTCCTCATTACTGTAGTTTGGGAGAGCATATCTGTCGACCAAAGCACCCATGGTAAGGCAACTTGAGAGGAGGGAGACACGAAAGGTAGGACAGCGGGAAGAGAAGAGAACGCGAGAGGCAGGAACAAAAATGCAATGTTCGACATGGTGATTTATCCCCTCGGAGGCGACCTTTCGTAAATATAATTTCATACGTTCAAACATATGCTCTCGAAATGGTCAAAAAGATTCTTAGGAAAACAACCTTGCCCCATGGCTCAGATCATCGGTGAGCATTAAATCGGAGCATCATAGGATTTGAACTATCCTGAAACCATAAGAGGCTTACGAAGACGTTCCCCAGGAGAGAATTGACGTGCTTCACAAAACAAACTCTAGGTATGTACCCTTTCGGGGAACACCTTTCGTGATTAGAATTTCATATGCACTCTTTCTGAATGTTCAACAGGGCTTCAACTATTCTGAAATCATGAGAAGCTCACGAAGACGTTCTCCAGGAGAGAATTGAATTTAGTGGGGGGGAGGGGGGGGGGGGCCTATTGAAAAATCAATTCCAGGGGGGGGGTCTGAATTGAGCGATCAATTATTCGACCCGGACGAGCCAACACTTGCTTCGCAAGACAAACTCAAGGTATATATCCCCTAAAGGGCTACCTCTCGTGAAAACTATGGGGTCTTGAAGTGAGAAAGTCAACACTTAAAGCCGCTCTTAGCCTCTTCTCAAACGTGGTGATGTCTGCTGTACAGAATCTTGTACTGACCCCAATCTGTTTTGAACATAGCTGGTCAAAGCCCATGAGACGATCGGATCCCTTATTAATCCAGGGTTTTTCCACACCGCGGTAGAACCTGATCCCTCGCCACGGCCACACTTATTATTATCCCCAATGAACAGGCACCCACCAAAATCAACGCCACCTGAGAACTGCGAAAATGTGGTTCTCAAAAAAAAATGAACAAATCCCTACATTGGAGACCCATCCAGGGGCCGTCCGCTCGCCCAGTCTCAATATCGACCAAAAACCCTGTGGCAACCTTGGATGCCCATTGGTCGCCTGCCAAACCTTCTCTCCCTGGTGTCAGACGTGCTTTAATTGTTAAAGCAGCTCGAGCGAACGGGAGGACTTCCCGACACGACGGTGCGAGAAGAAGCCTCCAACCGGCCGAGTCTCCATTGGCGCCGGCAAGGCCAGCTCTACTCCACGCAGCCCTCCCTCTCCCAGATCCACCGATCCATCCTCCCAGAGCTCGATCCACTCGGACCATGCCACTGATGGATGCTGACCTCCACGTTTCGCTCGCTCCCAGAGATCTCCGCGAAGAGCGACTTCCTCGGTCGCTGCGCCGATGTCGCCCTCACGTCATCTTTTCGCGTTCCAAAGCCTCGAACACGCGCGCGCCCCGTCACGTTGCGCGTGTTGTAGACTTTGGGGGATTGTGCGGGGTGTTGTTTTTTGGCAGCATACCTTTCCAGGAGGGACAATATGAATAGAAAACATGCCTTTAGTGCATGTGAGATCACCTTGTCTTGAGGTGACCCACGACTTTCTCATCTTGAAGGTTGGTGAAGTAAAACAGTCCTGGACTTGGAAGGGTTCATTGCACACCACACAGACTTTCTGGACTCCAGCTGTTCACAAAGAACGCCGGCGCCAACAAAAACTATTGGTTAAATCCACCAAACTATACGAACAACCTCTTGTCTGCCCTCCCAAGATCCGCGGTTCGCGGATCTGCAAATGGATCCGCAAGTTCGCGACCCGGCAAGACCATCGAGTCTTTCAAAACCATGCTGCAAGAGTGCACCGTAGACGCAATGTCAAACACGACCCATTAAACAAGAAAAACAAGATGGAGCCCACGAACCTGAATGCGCACACGGTCGAAAAGCTACATATGTCCAAGTGAGACAAGAGTGTCCCATACAAGAGTTTCCTACAAGAGTCTCCCACAAGAGTATCCTATAAGAGTGTCCCACAAGAGTTTCCTACACGAGTGACCCACAAGAGTGTCCTACAAGAGTGTTCCACAAGAGTGTCCTACGAGAGTGTCCCACAAGAGTGTCCCACAAGAGTGTCCTATAAGAGTGTCCCACAAGAGTGTCCCACAGGAGTGTCCGGACACTCTTGTGGGACACTCTTGTGAGACACTCTTGTGGGTCACTCTTGTGGGTCACTCTTACAGGACACTCTTGTATTGTAGGACACTCTTGTAGGACACTCTTGTGGGACACTCTTATACGACACTCTTGTGGAACACTCTTGTAGGACACTCTTGTGGGACACTCTTGTAGGAAACTCTGGCGGGGCAGGGCACTCTTTTAGGACACTCTTGTGGGTCACCGTGTAGGAAACTCTTGTGGAACACTCTTATAGGACACTCTTGTGGGTCACTCTTATGGGACACTCTTGTGGGACACTCTTGTAGGACACTCTTGTAGGACACTCTTGTGGGACACTCTTGTGGGACACTCTTGTAGGACACTCTTGTGGGACACTCTGAGAGGACACTCTTGTGAGACACTCTTGTGGGACACTCTTGTAGGACACTCTTGTGGGTCACTCTTGAACGAAACTCTGGCGGGACACTCATACGGGGCACTCTTGTGGGACACTCTTGTGGGACACTCTTGTGGGACACTCTTGTGAGACACTCTTGTGGGACACTCTTGTGGGAGACTCTTGTAGGACACTCTTGTGGGACACTGTTGCGGGACACTCTTGTGAGACACTCTTGTGGGACACTCTTGTAGGACACTCTTGTGGGACACTGTTGCGGGACACTCTTGTGGGACACTCTTGTGATCTGGGACACTCTTGTGGGACACCCTTGTGATCTGGGACACTCTTGTGAGACACTCTTGTAGGACACTCTTGTGGGACACTCTTGTGGGGCACTCTTGTAGGACACTCTTGTGGGACACTCTTGTAGGACACTCTTCTGGGTCACTCTTGTAGGAAGCTCTTGCAGGGCACTCTTTTGGGACACTCTTGATACCACGAATCATCCCGCTCACCAGCGACACGCCGCATTTACACCAGCCTGTTTCGCGCTCCCCAGTGGCACAGCGCCAACGCAAAAGCATTTTCCGCCAAGGCCACGCAAATCCCAATGGCACTGCGACATCACGCGCGTCGCGTCGCCACACGGTCTGCCCACACACTAGAAGCAAACGTATCACATGATCCAACAAATCATCCCGCTCACCAGCGACACGCCGCGTTTACACCAGGTCACGTCACGTTTTCATCCGAAACCCTCTCGAAAAGCTTCCCCCACTGGCACCGCCTTAGCGCTCTACTGCGGACGGTTGCGAACGGTTGCGGACGGTTGCGAACATAGAAACAACGGGTCGCGAACAAGGCTCTACCCCCAGACCCCCAGAGTTAAACGAGAACCCTTCGCTATGCATTCGGGAAAAGATCCTTTTCTGAACGACATACCACACAGTGAAAAAACCTAACAAAGAAGCGATGACTAGACCAGAGAGGCTTGGATCGGACATCTCAAAAGTATGAAAGTCTCAAGTCTCAACACAAAAGTTTACCATGAACAGTGAGCCACGCGCAACACGCATCAACAAGCGTCGACTGTGCGCAGCCCAGCTTCAAATCATCTACTTGCACGTTCTTCCTCTGCAGCTGCTTCATGACCATCAAGTCTTTGTCAGCTGCAGTGGTTTCCATAGCAGTCGTCACGAAAACACCTGTTATCACCTCAGCTCATACCGTTGAAGGTTCTTTTGCATGCCACTACCCAAAGCAACTGCAGCACAAGGAAGGTGGGAAGGAAGGTGGGCCGCTGCGTCCGCACTGACTGCTTGTCAAGTCAGCATAAGGAATTGGTGCTCATTGTTTTTGATGATTTGCGGCGCCCCTGACAGAGAGAAAGGCTGGGTTGCTTCAATCTTGACGTGCGCCCCACGCCTCATAGAATTGAAAATACACAGAGGGCAGTGGCCTAAAGCAAAGCGGACTTGGGGCCATCTATACATGAATAGCCACTGGACTATTGCGTCAGCAAAGTTGAGGACGGGCTCCATGTTTTCGGCTCCTGGGATCCGACTTTCGGTTCCACGACTACTCTACTCTACGACTACTACGACTACTACTACTACTACTACTACTACTACTACTACTACTACTACTACTACTACCTACTACTACTACTACTACTACTACTACTACTACTACTACTACTACTACTACTACTACTACTACTACTAGTGCTACTCTACTTTCGGATATACGAAGTTACTACTACTGCTACTCTGCGACGACTACTACTACTACTACCACCACTACTACCACTAGTACCACTACTACCACTACTAGCCCTAGTACAACAACAACAAAAACAACAGGAGAAGGACGTAAAAGCAGGATCTTATCAATAGCAAATTACGACTCTTGAGATCCCGGTGGGCACACAGCGATATGGGGTTTCCACAAATTTAGAAAGAACATGTAGGCTCTGGCACTCTTTTTGTCATCTACGCTAGATGTTCTTGCATGTTGGAATTCTTGCAACTTAAGTGACAGCCCTTGACGCCACAAGGGAAAAGTGCTTACTCTGCCTACACAGGTGAAGCATGTTGAAATGATTTCAACCTTCCACTCTATCACAGCACACGGTCGACATTGAAGCCACCGCGGGAGGGACAGGGTGGGAGAAGGTCAGCTGCAAGTCAAGCAGCCTGCACAACCAACAAGAGTTAGATCCTACATACCTACAGCTCCCCCTTATGCTACGCTACAGGGTCCACATGCACCCATGTAGGCTCTGGCACTCTTTTTGTCATCTACGCCAGATGTTCTTGCATGTTGGAATTCTTCCAACTTAAGTGACAGCCCTTGACAGGTGAAGCA